GTTCTTGGTGTTTTCAGGGCTCAAGCATGCGTGGGATTTGTGGCAAATAACTTGTGTATGTATAAGAAAAAGGTCTTGAGTGCTTCAGAGAGTCAGAAGTACAAGTTACAAGATAATTGCTATGTTACTTGATTTTCAAGAAAAATGGGAAAACAAGTTTCAAGAGGAAGTACAAGCATGGGCTGAGTGATTGTAAGTGTCTAGATAAACTTCTATTGAGTTATGGGACTTGTATCATCGGAAGAAAACAAGTGCAAGGCTCAAGAACAGGTTTTATGCAAAAAGCTACTTTATCAAAATGGCATTGTGCACTTTCTTCCCAAAATGGATATAAAGCATGGCCTTGCATTGAATGCTTGAATTGAGACTTCTAACAGTTGTGCAAGCAATTAATTATGGAGTGCCTAACAAGTTTGAGGCCTGCAAAGTAGAGGTTATGCAGCATACGTTTGAATTTTGAATCATGTTTATCACAAAATGACTTGTAATTCAAGTGTGAAAACCCTAACTTCATCTCTTCGATTCTCCCTACTCAAAAATGATATCAAGGAGTTCTTGGACATTTTGGAAAGCTTGCAATGTGATATACAATCCCTATTTGAATCACTTTTGAAAATTCCCTTTGGAACTATATGAAAAGTTCCATGAAGTTAGGTCAAAATCCTGACCAAATTAGGGCAAAATTTCACTAAGTGTTTTGTTTCATGACCATGTGTTCTTAAAATTATAACTTGAGATCCAAGCACTTTTGGAAGGATTTGTGTAGATAAATGTTTTAGATTTCATGGAGATCTACAACTTTCATGTTGAAAGTTTCTTTTGAATCATCTTGCATCATGGTGAAAATTTTGCTCAAAATGAAATCTTGAATTTTTTATTTCTTGATGAATAAGTATTATATTTTGGAATGCTTTGATGAATTGTGATCTTTGACATTTGATTTTGACCAAAAAGTCAAAGTTTGACTTTTCAGTATACAGTTGACTTTTGATCAGTTGACTGAAAATTCATTTGTCAATCCGTTGGACTTGAGCAATGCTTTGAGCCATGTCATTAGGTTAAAATGATGAAATTGTACTCTTGAGATCATGTCTTAAACCAATTGATCATTTTCTAGGTCAAAAATTAGAAATTGCCCTTTCCCAGTCAAAACCCTAATTTTGACCATTTTTCCCTTTTGAAGATTTGATCAAATTTCTTAAGTAATTATGGTCCAAACTTGATCAAATGATGCATATGAGTTTAAAATATTGATGTGGATAAAAAATTATGAAGTTTGACTGTAACTTGGCCACAATTGACTTTTTAGCCCATATAGTTGATTTTTAGGTCAACTGCTCAATTGACTGAGCAAAAGTGTGATCTAAAACTTGAAACTTGACATGAGTAATCTTGAGGGTCCATAATGATCTATGAAAGTCATATGGGTCATTGTAAGTTCAAATATCCTTGTGCAATCTCAAACCCTAATTTTGGTCATCAATGTTTAAGGAGGTGTCTTGAGCTGATAAGCCCTAGTGCAGTCTTGAGCCAAAGGAGATCTCGAGAGAAAATTCTTGATAATTGAGAGGGAAAATTTTGGGGTACAAAACTTCCCTTTGCATAATCAACCCCCGAACTTAGATTCTCTCCCCCTCTTTTTGGGTTATTCGCTCTTTTCTCATTCCTCTAGAAACAATAAAGCGCGGTGGCGATTTTTATTTGATCTGTGCGAGTTAAGTTAATCCAATGGCTTAGTATCAACATTTCTACCGCTACAATATCATATTCAAATCATTGACCACGAACCCTAAACAAACCCTAAATATTTATCACATTCAAAACATAGAGATCACATACATATAACATATAATATCCTATCTTACATTATTTCTCATAACTTTTTACCAAATTATCACATTCATATGAACATCACAAATCCGAATTAACACAATAGATTTACACAATTTCTAGCATTTAACAGAGCATGAAAACAGAATCACATCATAACGATCTAGAGAGGTTTTGCACAAACCATCTCTCAAGATTCCAATTTCACATCAATAGAGGAAAAGGAAAAGGGTTAAGGATTCTCCAATATCCTTCATGATTAAATACCCATATATTAAACAATTTCTCTCTCCCCTTATCTCGATTACGCGAAAAAACTTGAAGCTTTGGTTATGGAGACTATTCTCTTTCATTTGTTCTGCTAAGGTTTCCTCTCTACTCATTTCTCTATTTCTCCCTCCACTTAAATAGAAACTTAATTTATTCTATTTTATTTTATTAAGTTCACAAATTCCCTTTTATTCATGATAATCCTATTTATGTCCCTAATTTTAATTAACTCATGTTTTACTGCGCAAAACCACAATTTCTCTTCTACACTAATTAAAATATTAAAAATAAAATAATTCCTATCAAAATTCACTAACTCAAAATAATACTAATTAATTAAATTAAGAACACTCCAAAACTCAATTAAAAATGCCACAATCAAAATCAGGATGTTACACGGGCCGGGCCATTAAAAACATTAAAAATATACGATCCTACCTTTTTGACCCAGTTCACCGGATCTATGTTTTTGATGAGTTTGGTTGAACCAGCAAGCAGGTTTTGGGTTGGTTCATTAAAAAATTTATAAAATTTATTTAATTAATTGTGGGGGAAAAAGTTGAGTTAAAATATTATTGCATAACTATATTTTGAAGTGAGAAAGAAAAGTTAAAAATGATGAATATATATTTTCAATATGATGTGATCTAAGAAATGGTTGTGAAATGAAAATTTGATAAGTATTGGAGATGATATTCAAATACTTTATTTTTTAAATAGATGTTTTTGTGGTACTCATATATATGAATGTTAATTTGATGAATATTTTAAATATCACTTAACTAAATTTATGGTTACTCTCTACTTATGTTATGTAGGTTTTATCCAATACATCTCTTTTTATAAAATTAAAACTATAATATTAATAAAGTATTAAAGATAAAATTGTTAAGTTATTAAACCAATGATATTTTAAGATTTTATTAATGATATGTCATCAAATAAAAATTACTAGAAACATACAATGTAAATTTTTGTAAAAAGATTGTGATTAAAACTTGTTTTACTTAGTAAATGTTAGCACTCCAATGCTCAAATTAATGAATGAAATGAATAGTGAACTTTTCAAATAAGATACATAGTAAATGTTAGCACTCTAACACCCAAATTAGTGCAGAAAATAAATAATAAAATTTTCAAATAGGACTGAATTGTACCTAAAATGACGCGCTAACTCTGCTTTAATAGGAGAGTTTATTGGTAATTGAAATATAATGGTGAGCATGGAATACATATGGCTACATGATAGATATGGCAGTGTAAAATGGGATTTTAGATGGAGTAACGTGAAATGAATTAAGAGTATACCTTTTATCTTTGTCACGCTTTGCGGTCTTTTGATATTGGGCCTCGTGTTCTATTGGGCCTTGGAGACCGGCCCGAAACAGTTGTCTCCAAGCCATTGTCTTTTGTCATGAAAGGTAAGGGATTTGCAATAACTATCTTGCGGGTCCATGGAGGTCATCATGGGAGAGACTTGATGAAATGTCAAAGTTTTTGGAAAGAGGCGATTTGTATGGACGACACTTATACATGGCGCTCAAACAAGTGAATAATAATTGATAAATGCTATCTATCCTCGTTATTCGTCCAATGAGTGCCATGGAGTGTTAAAGTGTTAACCCAATGACCATAGAGAAATCCCACCCGTTGAAGTGGGGAATGATTATGCGACTTTAAATCATCCGAGAAAGCCTACTAGGTGTTCGAAGGGACATCACTCTTTTTTGCTAACCTGTATATTGACTTTCTTGAGAAGCTCTTTTCCCTTTCTTGTATTTTCCCTAGGTTTTCTCTTGGTGTGTAGTTTGATAAGATATTTAGGAATTTCCATTTGCTGATTTTGGCCTTTGCGTGCTCGATTTTATACTCAAATTTTTTATTTTTGGCATCTGAGCTTTTTGTTCTTTCCTTATTCTTCGTAATTTTTAGAGTTTCTCAACGTTTCAAAGTTTTCCGCTACGCTTATTGATTCATGTATTATGGATGTTTCTTCTATGTCAACTAGTAGAGTTGGTAAGGATATTTCAAGAGTTTGGGTAAGTTCAGACATATCAGGTGCTATCTCCCTCTTTTCCCATAGCGATTATTTCTTAGGCTATGCCTGAAGTGGGTCTGCTTGAGGATTAAGGTGTCCTTTTTTCGAGTGAGGATCAAAGATTATATGGTCAATGGTGCTATCCCATTTCATGAAAATATATTCTTCTTAGTTGGCCATTGTCTTCCCTTCAATGAGTTTAAAATTGACGTTCTAAATCATTTGCTTATCGCTCATTCACAGTTCCACCCTGTGAGTTGGGCATTCGTCAAGATATTCCAACACTAGTGTGAATACAAAGGTAGAAAGCTGACATGACATTGTTGTTTCAGCTTTCCAGGGTGCAAAGTGGTTCTAAATCTGTAGATGGTTATGGCATAATATTTCTATGGCGGAGCTTCAAATACTCTGAGCCTTATTTTGATAGTGTGAAAAACGTTAAGGACTGCTTTTTATTGGTGGTCCCCCTCAACCAGGAAGCCAATTCGATGATTTTTAGATTATATCGTGATATTCCTTCCTCTTGTATGAATATTTTTTTGCAAATACTAAACTCATAGTCATTTCCTTATTGGAGACAAGATGTGTCATTACAAGGAAAATGATTTTTCAGAAGAAGAGTTATATCTAAAATCCTAGTTAGTATATTTTCACCAGAAGCTTGGCTATGTAGGTGGGGTGGTTACCTCCAATCTTTCTCTAACACCTGGTTAAAGAGATGAATTTAGACTTGCTCAATTGTGGATGCCAAATCTAAAGAAGAGATGATGATTTTTGGTAAACTAACTTTAGAATTGTGTATTCCCCTCATCCTATTCTTCTTTTGGTACTTCCTAATTTTTCTTCTCAATTTAAAAATATTATGAATAGTGATGAGGCCGCGCGGTGGTTGAAGAAAGAGAATAGGGCTACCACTTCTTTGCTCAGGATTTTGAACATGCCCCCAGTCGAAGGTTTGTCTACTTCGGGTTCGCCTGCTGGTACTCTGTCTGGTCCGATCTTCAGGTAAGCTACACAAAAAGTTTCTCCCGATGGAAGAAAATACCCTAGTCATGCCTTTTTGGAAGAAAATTCCCCTCCTATTGATCAGGAGAAAAAGCTTTCTCCCATTCCCGATTCAGAAAGAGAACTAGGTATGCTAGCTTATCATATTCGTGGGAATCTGCTGTTTTAATTTTTGGTGCCGGTTGTCAAGAGGAACTTTTATTGATAAGTTTTGTAGGAAGAGATAGTGAGGATAAAGAAGAAGGGTGGCGATCTTACCCTTGAGTGGATAATTGTTTAGAAGAGGTTCAAGATGTTTCCAACTTGTTTCTTACCATAGAAGCTACGTTATAACCATTGGGGTATTCTGGTTCTTTAACGGAAAGGGGCAAAGCTAGTTCAAGTGGTAATTGATAAGGATGTGGTTGTGACTGAAGAAAACCAATCTTTTGAGGCTGAATGGAAGCTAAATGAAGGGTTAGAAATGGTTTTGAAAAGTAGTCTTGAGACAGTCAACAAAAGACTAAGGTGAGTCTTACCAACACGCATGATGATAATCTCTCCCTTTGTAAGTAGTTGTCCAAATCCTTGTAGGATGGTTTTTTGGTGGCCGAGGATGCTTTTGAAAATGTTGTCCAACAAGTTGAATATTTTTATTCGACTGATCCCATCTCTTGAATTCAGGTCCGCCTTAACCAGATAACTGAAGACGTGCGAGTGGTTCCTATGGATGGGTAGTAGCCCATTGTTTTAGGATATTTAATGTAAACCTGACTTATATAGATCTTCACCTGTAATATAATTTTTTTATTATATTTTATTTGTTTAATTTTATTTAACTCATACCTTTGTTTATAGAGTTCTAGTCCTCCCCGAGTTTCGTGTTAAAATTATATTTAACGTGTCAAGGGACTGCGTCTGACTAAGGGTCGATACCCCTTTCTATACCCCATAGTGTAAACCCAATTCGAGATTTATGTATTAGAAGACCTATCATTGCCTCCAGAGTTGATAGCTATCAAGACGGGGGGTGTCATATCCTAATTTTTACCCATAAGATTCCATTTATAATATAATTTGCATTGCATTATAAATCATTCATTTGCTTGATCTCCTAAGGAATGTGATCAAATGATTCTTGGAATTAGAGTTCTTCTCTACGGTTTGAATTTGTTATTTCACTCAAGTTGATTCAACTGGTTCATTCATCACTCATGGTGTAGAGATATGGTTTTAAATCATAAGCATCATGAACATCTTCCTTGTCAAGATTCATCAAGCTACAAAGTCATCTTCATCAAGATTACTCAAGAACAAGTGTATTAGGGCTTTAACTTGTTGTGCTAAGGATTTCATCATGCTTTCAACTGAGAACGATATGAGCTAGGGTATTGATTCTTATTAACATGTCAAGCCATCTCTTCATCAATGTGTATTCAAGACAAGAGAATTAGGTTTTCCTACTCATTATGCTTGAGTTTGGCAATGGTTCTTCAACATAGGCTCATTGGACTAAAATTTCACCTCAAGGCTACATTGAGCATTATTATTTCCCTATTTCAAGTTCATCATCATTTAAGGGTTTCTCCTACTTGTTTCATAAGTCAATTTCTTTTCAAGAGGTTTAGAGGATTAAGTCAAGGTTTTCTTCCGGTGGGTATACTTGTAAAATGGTTAAGGATTGCTTTGAGTTGTCATCAAGTCAAGATATTTCTTGTTGGATGAGCTATGGATTAGGATATCATCTATATTTCATTTGTCAATAAGGATTTGGTTGCTTCAAATGCAAGTTACCTTGGACTTGATATACAAGTATCTAGTTAGGGTTTCTTCATGAGGCTAGAAAAGTTCCTAGAGAATCATGAAAGCATGCAAGTTGGATTTGAATGTGTCTTAATCAATTACTTTTACCTTTGATCAAAAGTCTTATTGAAGGTATTCATTTATTATGTCATGAATTCAAGTGGTAGACAATGTAAACAAGAATCAAGTGGCCTTGCTTGTTGAAACAATGAATTCATGCTATCTTTTAAGGTTTCATTCAAAGTTATCAAGAGTTCATTCAAGAGTGCAAGAAAATAAAGTTCATTGCTTGGAATTTAAGGCATTCATTAAGATTCAAAATAAAATATCATTCAAGGTTTCAAGGCAAAGTCCAAATATTCAAGTTCAAGTTCAACATCCTGATTTCAAACATCATACATCATTCATCAATTTAAGTTACAATGTTCAACATAATTCAATGTCCATTTTATTCAAGTTACAAATGTCCATTACAAATAAAGGAAGTGAACAAGTATTACAAACATGCCTTAAACCTATCCTTTCTACACAATTCAAATATAATTCAATATCTTACCATAAACCTTGATTCATGATACATCAAAGCTGTCCAAAATGGCCATTTGACTTGTTCCAAACTTGCAACAAAATCTATCCAAAAGTTGCCATATTAAAACAACTCCAAATCAGTTCAAACAAAGCTTTTAATCCAATCCCAAACATGTCCACACATGAACAATACTGAAGAAATGAGATTTCACCATTTATTTGGCTTGATTTGTGCACGATTCAATATTGTTTTACGTTGAATTTTCCTCTTTTAGGTTTGTTTTGTATGTATTTCAGGTTTTTGGTCCTAAATAGGCTACGGGCAGAGAAACAAAGCAAAATGGGTGAAAAATAGATAAAAATGAGCTTTTCTACACTGATGGCAACCCTAATGGCGTTCACCATAGGGTGGCCATGGATGGTCCATGTGCTATAGGTCAAAAGACTAAGTCTTGGCCACTTTGGAAGCATGGCATTCGCCATAGCCTGTGGCGGTTGCCATAGGTTAAAAATATCAAACAGTTACAAGCACGTCTGGCTTGCTTCTCAAGTGTCAAAGATCCCTGAAAGTTTTTGCCCACGTTTCCTGGAAGTTACAGGAATTAAGGTTTTCCTGTTTTTCTATAAATAGGTCCTTAGTTCTATCATTTGTTTCATCCAAGCTTATGAATACTTAAGCCATATATTATAAGTTTGTAAAGCAATAATCTCTTCACATCATAGGATTATTATGCCGTCGATTGAGTCTGTATCAAGTTTGGAGCACACATGTACAAGTTTTATTTCCAAGCACTTTATTTCTGCCGTTTACATTTTGTTAAGATTTACTTCAAGTTATTGCAGTTGCATTAGATTCAAGACTCCGTTTAGAGCATGTTTTCAATTCATTCAGCATTTACTTTATTTTCCTTGCCTTTACTTTCCTGTCTTATTTACTTGCATCTATTCTCTTCATCTATTTATCCGTCATTATGTTTACCTTTGCACTTAAAACCGTTTATGTTTTGTTTTCTGTAATCATGCCTGGCTAATTTACTAAGTGTTGGGATGTGAGGATCGTCAATAGACGATGCTCTACATGTTGTCTCTTTACGATCACCTTTGTGGGCTGTTTTGATTTAAACGCATTTTTTCTGAACTTATTTTTGAATCTACTTACACGAAAGTGAAGCAGTGAAAACATCGGGTAATATCGAAAGCCGTCCGACACTAAAGACTAAAATTGGTTTGTTTTTGGTTAACAAATACCGCGAATGCACTTTTTTAATTAATTACGAAGATTTGATATTTCTAGAAGGAGGTTTTAAAACTTTTTGCAGACGCATTTATAGGTTTAGGATCCGGTTACCTGAGCAGAAGCCAAGAACCCTTTTAAGTTAAATTTTCCCATCAAAATTATTTTTCGACTTAGTTAAGAGTTTAATTTCTTAAAAATAGGTTTACTACTTTAACGCGATAAGCACCTTCCATAAGTGACAATGGCGGGCATAAATTAGAAAGTAAACTCGGTTCTGAATACACGAAAGTGATAGTTCCCGTTAAATTGATTCTTTTCAGAGTAGGAAATTTTTCCCCATAAGTAATCTTAGTAGATACAATCAGAGTGTTGTTGATTGATGTAAATTACATTCCAGCATTGTTATTCTTATGTTTTTATCAAAAGTTTGCTTATTTCATCTCTTTTCCACTACTATTTTAATCGCCTTAGATAAACACTGTAACAACTAGAAACAATATATTTGACTATTGGTCTCTGTGGATCGATATCTTTTAAAACTACACGATAGGCTGTCCACTTGCAGTTATATTTTACACTCACTAAATAGAAGTGAGCAAATACCAATCAACTCAAGCAGCATGTAAACAATTCACCATTTAGTTCACAAGCCAATTGCAAACTAGTTCACAAAACAAGCTAAATCCAAACTGAAACTCATGAAACCCGCGTCTGCATCCCAAACTAAACCAGTTGCAAATTTAGCAAATCAGAAAAATGAAAATCAATTGAATCGTGTGTATCAAGTTTCTTAATGCCAACTCACCATTCCTAAGCAAAAATACAAGCCAAAGCACATGGATCCAAGCCTGAGATAAGCTTAACCAAACCTGCAACAATTGCTCACAATTGGAGTTCTAACAAACTCCAAACCAAGTTTTAACAAAATCCAAGCCCGAAGCCTCATTTCATACATGATTTTACTCTAAACCTATCTCCTATGTAAGAAATTTCCCTCCAAATTCAATTCATTCACAATTTTCAGATCACAAAAACTCAACTCTCTTCAACATCGAATTATATTTTCTCTCAGTTCTCTCTGAGAAATCTTCATCTCATCTTCATCTACACATCATAGTGAATCTTCTTCAATCATCTGAAAGCTCTCAACATCTTCTAATCACTCTGTTCCGGCAAAAATTCACATGAAGAAGATGCAATTGGTTTGAGATATACAAAACAATTCAAGAAAAATGAAATAAGCATTAATGTACCTGGAGCTTCAATGAAGGTTTTCTAATCATTTTCTGATCTTATTATCCATTGCGAAGGCGCATCGAATACTCTCTGATAGGTAACAACTAGGCTATTTTTAATCCTATCATTTCTGCATCGTTTTCACTATTTCTTGATACGAAACTGTTGATGAGAATCTTGTGTGCTGGAGACCTAACTTGTTAGGAATTATTTGCTGCTGAGTGTGATTTAATTTGAAATCTAAAATCCTAGAGTTTTTTATTTATTTCTGTGATTGCGTGAGTTTGAGTAGGGTTTGGACTGAATAAGTGTGATATTTGAGATCTACGTGAAAAAACAAAGGGAGTAATGTATTGATTTGCTGTGTCTGGAAACAAAAACACAGCCGCCTCCGCCTTGTGGCGTGCTGACGCGGTGGTGAACACGTGAAGAAGATAATGAATATGTTGACGTGAAGGTTTTGAATTCAATTCAAATATTT